GTTCGTTAGTAGAGGCGTTCGTATCCCAAGGTACCACTGTAGTATAACTTAATGTCTGAAATCACTGACCTGGTTCGGCCTTTCTAACCCAGAAGGGTTTTTTCAGATTTTTTGACAAGCACCCAAATTTTGATCACATGACTACGGGGGCACTGCAATAGCCATAACTTCAAGGACCATCCATAAGTACCATTCGTTCAGCAGTGTCGTAACTTTGAATGGTCGCTGAATGAATGGTCATTAAGCGAGGACTACCTGTCACTCTGGCTGTGGTTCTCTCTGTTATGTCTGGGGAAGCCACCTAAACATGATAGAGGAGTTGTAGTGCAGCTCTGTGGAAAGATGGGATGAGAAAAGATTTTCCTGAGGGCAAGGAGCCTCGAGAGAGTGGGCTGGTCTGAGGGATAATCTTGTGCCCACACCCCTGGGCGACATCAGGGAAGCCAGAACGATCCAGGTGACAGTTAAGGTCTCTTTGAGGTAGTCTGGGTGAATACAAATCTCTAAGGAATTTCCCAGCCTTATTTCTCGCGAGTTCACTAAGGGGAATCTCTGGGAATGATTTGAAACGCTGCTTCTTCCCATGTTTCCGGCCGCCTGGGCTGAGCTGCTGTCTTTGGGAGAGTTTGCCAGCAGACTCGTCCTCTGTTTCTCGATGGTTTTTGTCTCCTCGCCCTCCCATTCCTTTCCCAGCCTCCCCACAATCTCTCACAGGTAGTGAATCTGCTGATGTGCCTCTCTCATGTGCCTCCTACTTTCCCCCCAGGGAACGAAGTGGATCAGAGAGATATGAGCACAGCCCTGACTCTGGTCAAAGACCTGATCTCTGCCATTGACCAGGAAGTGCACAATTACGAGAAGAATGCGCGGCTGCAGGAAATCTATGGCAAGGTGGATGGGCGGACCAAGGCCCACCTGCCCTGGGAGCGGGGCTCCTTCAGCAAGGACGAGATGCTGCGGCGCAAGCTCGTCCATGATGGCTCCATGCTCTGGAAGACAGCCACGGGGCGCTTCAAAGGTGGGTGGGGTGGGGGGTGGCAGGAAATTCCCCACACCCTGCCCTTGTTTAGCTTCCGAACTAAGGATACCCAAGCTGTGTGTTACATTCAGCTGATTAATATTCATTCTTGCAAACCCATTTTTCTGGTGGCTCCCTAAGGCCTAGGGAGTCTTTCTGGACCAGGAAAAAAAATGTGTGTGTGTGTGTTTTAAGTAAAACTGTGATGCTGCTAGTGAATGTTGGAGTCTAGTACTGACTCTCGCTGTGAGGTGTCTTTCTCTCCATGTTTATTGTGAGACATGGCACAGTTGTTGCCATTGTGATTTATTTGTTTTTTATGTATTCATCTTTCTATCCTGTCTTCTGTTGTACAGCTCAAGGTGGGGTGCGTAGTGCCTTGGGCTGCATAATAAATTGTTCCTCTGCCCGTGGCCCCTGTCCCCTTCCCTTGTAGATGTCCTGGTGGTTCTGATGACAGACGTTCTCATCTTCCTGCAAGAGAAGGACCAAAAGTATATTTTCCCCACCCTGGTGAGTGGCCTTGGATGTGCCGCAGCTTTTTCCTGGGGTGAGGTCCCCAAGGTCTCAACCTGGGTGCTCTTGGCACAGGACGCGCAGGGCTGTGGCTGTATTTGGGGCCCTTACAGATTGGTGGCAGGTGGGATCTTGTTGGAACTGGGATTGTCTTTACTATTAAGCATTATAAACAGCCCTAGCCCCATCTTGGCTGATGTGAAAAAGCTAAGTAGGTTAGTCCTGGGATGGAAGGCCACCAGGAGAACCCAGGGCTATAGACTACACTGGGAAGTTAGAAAGAAACATCCTGGAGAAGAATCACGTCCGTATGCGTGCTGTGAGAATTACGTGGATGGAACCAAAGATGGCTTGAAGAGGACTTTTGCCCAGCTGAAGAGCCAGGCAAATGAAATAACGGTCTGGGGACGTTGCGTTTCAAGGCTTGCTGATCCACAATAAATGCACTTTTGAAGAGGGGTGATGAGCGGAGAGAGTCTGAACATGCTCCTTTCCTTTCAGGACAAGCCAGCAGTTATCTGCATCCAGAACCTGATTGTCCGCGACATTGCCAACCAGGAGAAGGGCATGTTCCTGATCAGCAGCACTTCGCCCGAGATGTACGAGGTCCACGCCGCATCTCGTGATGACCGCAACACCTGGATGAAGCTCATCCAGCAGACCGTCAAGCTGTGAGTGGGGGGCTCTTGCTTGGGGCAGGCCGGGAGCAGCCTTCCTTCCATCCAGTCTGGTGGTGGGACAGGCACCCCCACGTCGGGTGTGCCTCTCCTAGGGCAAGGAGTTGAAGCCACCCCAGTACCGGATGGGACTCCCTGCGTGACAAGTCTGGGACTCAGCCACAACATGCCGTATTTGATTTTGGCTGAGGGTATTGTGTGAACCCCGCCAGTTGCGGTTTACAGAGCATGCTTTGCACATAGCACTCTACTGAATTCAGTCACGGCAATGTCCAGTCTACGCGGAGAATAACTCTACACTTGCCGAAATGGCTAAATTACTTGTTTGATTAGAGAAAAGACAATATCTACATTTACTGGTGATTGTAAAAATCCCTTATGGATTTTTGCATAAAAAAGAAAAAATGAACTTGTGATCTATGGTTTGGATGATTAGACAGGATAGATGATAGAAAGAAGAGAGTCACGATGTAACTTGAGAGAGAGAGGTGAAAATATAATTGTATTTATAACTGATGCGAAGAGGATCAGAAGCCTCTTTATATCTTTCTTTATATCTTTTTTTCTACTTTTCTTCTACTTTTTT